TTGGTCCACTCTTTTTCAACAAAGGACTTGCTTTGACTTTTACATTGAATTGAATGATTCGAATGCATGTGCGAAACAGCCACTCTATGTGTAATGTTGTGTGCTTCCTTACAAGTCTAAAACCAAAGGATGGGTTCAGAAAGAGTTTGGGAGATGAATTTCTCGGCAGTTGCTCAGCGGACCACTGTCTCCCTATTGCACCTCGCGCCCCATTTGATCAGTTCGATTAATTTGACGTTGTTTCCCAGATGGTACCGTGCGCCAATCAAGTGGAGATCCATCCACACTTTACACGTGAAGAATTGCGACAGTACTGTAAAAAAGAAGGTATTTTCATGCAGGTTTGTTAGTTTGTTAACTGGTTTTTCGGTCCGGTTCGACTCGTTTCGATCGGAAAATAGATCACACAGCGTTTGGCCGATGTCAGACTTTGCGAATCGCGCGATTCGCTAGCGTCTGCGGTCGCGTCGCGGCCAGTGAATCACTCAATTGGCTGGTACCGCAACGCGACCGCGGACGCTAGCGAATCGCGCGAATCGCTAGTAGCGAATCGCGCGATTCGCAAAGTCTGACATCGGCCTTTGTCTAGCAAAACGAATTAACACTCCCTTCAAAAAACGAGAAGAGCGTCGGGTGCAGACCATACACCACAAGTGACGACGGCCTCCACAAAATGTAAATGTTTTCTGCCAATGAAATGATTAGCCTGTTGCAGTTGTATTCTATCAGTTGTCACTAATTACAACTATCATTTACCAAAAATCAGCTATCACTATGAACCACTACTAACCAGATTTACTTGGAGGCCGTCGTCACTTGTGGTGTATGGTCTGCACCCGACACTCTTCTCGTTTTTGAAAGGGAGGGTACCTCTCAACCTGTCAAGGTCTATTCAGGCCTTTGCTTCACTCGCTCGTATGGCTCCGCAGCTCGTTCAAGAGCCGCTGATTGTCAGTTTGGCGAAGAAGCACAATACTGATGTACCAGTAAGAGATTGTTCATCTCAACAGACCTTTTGGTTTTGAACGTTCACTCAAATTTCAGGCTATACTTCTTGCTTGGGCGCATTGCCAGGGTATCGGAATTATACCAAAGTCCACATTGGAGAATGAGTTGAAGGCGAATATTGAGGTCAGCTCCACCCAAGTTGCATGGCTTCTCTCTAATGATATCGCTTTTTGATTTTATTATAAAACCTCGATAAAATCCACTAGAGCAGAAAATGCACATGTTAGGGGCACATCCCATGATGGCTTTAGTAGATCAATCTCTTTCTTGAGTAGGGTGAAGGTGTCTGTTGAAGTTGTAAGTTCTGTTCTATTGGTTCAAAAGAGCGCGACTAAAATGCTTCCCAAGACCGTTTCCACTGCTTCCTTTTCCCTCACTCGCAATGTGCGGGTGTCTGCTACCACTCATTCGTTGTGCTCTCTCGGTCATCCTTTCTTCTTCGTACTCGGCGTCTCATTGCCTCAGTTCAGCTTAACACAAATATGAATCAGCCCTCAATTTTAGGGTTTCTGACAAAATCTTTTCCTTGTTCTTCACTACCGGTACATGTCGCACCTCCGTTTTCATTTTCCTGTACAAGAATCACAACACTTTGAACGTGGGCGTACCTCAAGTCAGTTATCGTGTTGAACAAAAAAATCTTCATTGGTTTTCTCTGTGATCAAAGCTTTTGGGCTGAACAGACGTAATCAAAAACCCATTAGGCAGAGAGCAGCTGTCGACAACACCCGGCTAACTTCCAATCTTGATCCCTTACTCCTACAACTGAGAGAATGATAGAACGTCATAGCACTAGTGCTGCGGTCGAAATTCAAACGCTTGTGCATGACAGCCTATGCTGCGGCCCCGCCCCAGCACGCACACCCCCTCGGACCTGCTGGGCCCCATGGGAAGCGGAACTACTGCCCACTGCTGCAAACCGAAAGACGGCCCACCGTGTAATCAATAAGGGACGAGCCGCTCCCCTGGCGTAGTAAGGCCGATGTCATAGTTTGCGAATCGAGCGATTCGCTAGCGAATCGCTGGATCCGAGCGTTGCGCCAGCGAATCGAACGTTGCACCAGCGAATCGAACTTTGCGCCAGCGAGTCGAACGATGTACCAGCGAGTCGAACTAGGTACCAGCGACTCAATAGTGGCGGGACCCAACGTTTAAAGGAAGCCCGCCACTTTCAAACAGCGTCCACTGTCACGTGACACTGTTTGAAAGTGGCGGGCTTCCTTTAAACGTTGGGTCCCGCCACTATTGAGTCGCTGGTACCTAGTTCGACTCGCTGGTACATCGTTCGACTCGCTGGTGCATCGTTCGATCGCTGGTGCAAAGTTCGATTCGCTGGTGCAACGTTCGATTCGCTGGCGCAACGCTCGGATCCAGCGATTCGCTAGCGAATCGCTCGATTCGCAAACTATGACATCGGCCTAAGGCTGGGGCACCACTGTCAATTGTACGAAAGTGGCAATCGCGGCGTGTCCATCCGCGGTTTCTACCGCGGGACACTCGATTGGCGGGAACAATTAATTTGCTGTGACGTCACAGCTTTCGCAAGTACTGCCGTGCGCTGCCTAACTGCTGCCTTGGTACTCTCGTCCCCATCACTGCCAGATGCCGTTGCCCGGCTGTTCTGCCAAAGAATGGTCGGCAGCAAATGCGGTCAGAGGGCTTAAAGGCTTAACATCAGGAAACAAATCATCTCCAACGTAATGATCGATTATACAGAACTAATGATGGACTTTTTTCAGATGACAAAATTGGTTCTCACCAATGAAGAGATCGATTCTATATCAAAGCTGAATCTGAACAAAAACTACATTGAGTGTAGTGGCTGGACTGTCGCATGATTCTCCATAAACTCTAACAAATAAACATCTAATGATTTGCCGAAATCGAGGGACTTGAATAGACTAGAAATCCCTATCGGAGAAGAGATGGAACTTTTTCAGGGTCTCACTGCCATACCGATGCCAAACTGCAAGGTCCCAAGTAGCAAGCAGTCGAAGTAGAGTTTGGTGACTGTCGTGACTTGGTCCACTACCTCGAGAAAAAATGCTTCAGGACAAACGCTGAAAAGAGGCCGCGACAAAATACACTTTCAAACTTCGCGATTGATTCGGAAAGTCCGGCCTTACTCTTCAAATAGAACGCCATCTCCAGCCGCCATTCTAATTGCACTTTGCGTCCGGTCTAGTCGTGGTGCACATTGCGGATTAATCGGTCTTTCCATCATAAACTCTCATGTCGTCTTTTCCATGACACGGGGTCAGCTAACCCTTCTGTTTGCTTAGCCCCAATTTCTGACACTTACTAGTCATTTCCATTACTTGACAGTCGCCTCGCCGGGACTCACCTCTGGAACTCATGCTCTCTTTTCTTCAGGGTGTTGTGGAACCACTGGAATCCCAAGCTTTGCTGCGCCTAGTGGATATCGCCAATGTAACCTTCTTAGTCTTATTAAGCATGACATTGATTATAGTTCAACGAGCCACTCTTCTAGTCACGAAATACCACAACATCTTGTGCAATTTATACTAGCTCTTGATCACTTATGCTAGCTTCTCCAACCTTTTCGAACCGCTGAAAATGCAAAACTCAAATATACACTCAATCGAAAGAAGTAACTATTCTTCGAATGGAGACTTTCATGCTGTTTCAACCTTTTTCAGCGGACACATATTTTTCTTCCTTTTCATCTTATAGTAAAGGATGAGCCCAAGATGACAGAAGTTTTCGTATATATGCGGTTTCCGTGCAAGATCCATTCTTATAAGAGTGACGAGTTTGATCGAATTGGGATTCTGATCCAATAAACAATGAAACAAGGGCGCAGAGAGGGCTATCAGTGAGAATGGCAACCAAGAGGAACCGTAGAAACCAGTGCATTTGTGAGCATCCTTTTCTAGAAAGGTCGATCGTGGGAGAGTGTAGACACAAAGCGTGACGAGGAAGGAGTATGCGAAGGCTATTCAAAGGGAAGCACACATGTATGCGGTGAGCGAGAAAAATGGAAGCCACAACTTCTGTTAAAGGGACCCTGTAACCTCAACCACGGAGAGCTTGCTTCATGAATGCGATCGCAACCCATGCCTTTAGGCGAAGAATCTCAGAATCACGGGGACGCCTTGTTCTAGGTGAAATGCTCGGCATCATGTTGCTGAATCTTCATCTGTTTTCTGAGCAGATGTGCTATCCACAATATTATGTTGGATCACCGAGCTTTGCTCTCTTTCTGGTTCCATTCATGTGCTTAAAGCGAGAGATTACGATAAAGTGTGTGCAGCGTGGAAGTACATGCACCTGTGGAAGCAGTGGTCAGGGGCCGAAGGAAGCGAGATGTACATTTCGCAGTCAATGATGCCAGTGCTTCGTACTGTGCCTGCCTATGGCCGATGTCATAGTTTGCGAATCGAGCGATCGCTCGATCCAGAGAATCGAGCGATTCGCTGGATCCGAGCGTTGCACCAGCGAATCGAACGTTGCACCAGCGAGTCGAACGATGTACCAGCGAGTCGAACTATGTACCAGCGACTCAATAGTGGCGGGACCCAACGTTCAAAGGAAGCCCGCCACTTTCAAACAGTGTCCACTGTCAGTGGACACTGTTTGAAAGTGGCGGGCTTCCTTTGAAACGTTGGGTCCCGCCACTATCGAGTCGCTGGTACATAGTTC